GATGCTTTTTCCTTTTATTTTATTAGCTGCATAATTTTTTTTTTCCCCCCAGAATTTTGTCAGCACCGCTGATGATTTCGAGCAATCCTCTTTAATCACGTCTAACTTTACTCCGCAGGAAGAACAAGCTCAGGGTGGCGGCGGCTTCCCGTCCCATCTGGATGAACACATGCTGGCTGCACGTGAAGCAGATGATAGCCCCGAGAGAGGAGTCATCCCGGGGTTGGTGGCCAACGGTCTCCACCAGAGCTGCACCAGCCTGGGCAGCAGCAGTGGCAGCAGTGACACGGGCCGAGGGACCCACCAAACACGTAAGCACTCATTCTGTAGTGCACGTATATGTGGGGAGAGAAAGAAAAGGGCCCGATGATGTTCGCTGGCCTGTGAAATTCGTTTTTTTTTTTTTGTCTCTATCCGCAGATCCAACTCCTGGACGAGCAGGCAGGGGTCCAGACTCTGAGCAAGGCTCCTCGCATCACGCTTCCTCCTCGAGCATTTACCAGAACTGTGCACTGGAGGTCAGTAAACTGCTCTGTGCTGCACTGCTGTGCTTTCTACGCCAGCACGTACATGGCCGTAACTAACCGGTTGGACACATTTCCTTGCTGACAGGTGCTGATGTCCAGCTGCTCCCAGTGCCACTCTTGTGAATCCCTGGTGTACGACGAGGAGATAATGGCAGGGTGGACAGCCGATGACTCCAACCTCAACACCAACTGTCCCTTCTGTCAGACAGCCTTTCTTCCCTTATTGCACGTCGAGTTTCACGACTTGCGAACTACGACCGGGTAAGAATCTGTCACTTCTCCTGTGTACCTATCTTAAAGTAATATTAAGATGAGGTATAAAACTGAGAGAGTCTCATACAAACTGGCTGAAAAATGTTCCATCTCAGGTTCTACATGAAACCCAGTGCCTCAGGAGACAGTATCCACAGCACCAGTGCCCAGCCCACAGCCAGCAGCTCGGCTGACATAAAGACCCCAGACCTTATCGCTTTCCCTGAAGAGGAACCTAGGGAGACTCCAGACACTCTGCCTGGAGCACATAAGAGGTACACACCAAACGAAAGCCCCTCAAAGTTGTGACATGTGAAGTCAGTTTGACACCGGATGTAAAAAAGCCATGGCCAGGATGATGATGATTTTGCAAACGTATTAACCTTAAGCTAAATACTTTGTTGTGGCAGAACCTTTTCCTGAGTCCTCTTTGCCTGTTGTGTTTCTAGTCTGATTCCAGAGCCGGTGCAGTCGGACCCCTTAGGTCTCCTGGAGCACCAGGCAGCGGGGAAGCAGCGGAGCTGCAGTGGGACGTCACTGACGCGCAGCAACAGTGTCGGTGGCCCGCTGCAGAGCCTGGACTACTCCCAGAGACCTGGACACGGCGTCTCCACCACCAGCCTGCCCTGCAGCCTGCAAGAGGTGTCGGTCAGTCCTCCTTACTGTCACAAAACCAGTGTGTGTAGATATTTTGCCAAAACCACCATAGCTGCAGTGCAGTGAAAAATGATCGGTGTGTGTGTTCGTCAGGATGGCATGGGGACTAAAAGGCCGAACCCAAAGCCTGTGTCCGTACCGTACCTCAGCCCTTTGGTGCTGCGCAAGGAGCTGGAGACCCTGTTGGAGAACGAGGGCGATCAGGTAAAAGTTCCCACATACACACGCACGCGTGCGATCCTGCAGTCGGGTTTACAGCAAACGTTTGCCACACAGCTGCTGAGCTAGTCTGCTATGTCCAACCAGGTGATCTACACCCACAAGTTCCTCAGCCAGCACCCCATCATCTTCTGGAACCTGGTTTGGTATTTCCGTCGCCTGGACCTTCCCACTCACCTCCCTGGCCTCATCCTTACTTCTGAGCACTGCAACAAGGGAGTACAGGTGAGAGACTTAACGGGTCATCTATCATTATTCGTCATCCACTATTAGTCATCGAACTCATCCTGTCCTAAACAATTTACTCAAGACTGTTGAGATGTTTCCTTTGTGGTCTCTTCTGCCGTAATATAACTAAAGGTTTTATCTTTGCAGCTGCCCCTGACGTCACTGTCCCAGGACACGAAGCAGGTATACGTCCAGCTCCTGTGGGACAACATCAATCTACACCAGGAACATGGAGAGCCCCTCTACCAGCTCTGGAGGACCTTGTGTGAGTGTTGACATCCAGAATCATACACTTTTAATGCCACTATATGAAGATTCATAATGTCTTTTTTTATTTGTAGAAACTACCTACACCACTAGAGGGAGACAAAGACAAGTATTTGCAATGTCACAAAGGAAGTGTGGGGATGTATTAGTCGCAAATTGAGCTAAATATGAATGTTTGACATGGAGTATGCTGTTATGGGTTTAATATTAGCTGAAACCTTGGCAATAAAAGTCACAATATCACTGTTGGCCAGAAGACTTGAGGCTCCTTCCTAAAAAGGACAGAATAACAGTCTTTCTGATGGCGCTTGTGTTGTTTTCCAGTGGAGAAGAAGGGGATGCTGGCTCCGACGGACCACCAGGAGATTCGTACACTCCTCAACACGATTGTTCGCAACATCCAGACCAACGACGTCTACGGGCCAATCAACCTGTTGATCCGAGAGATCAAACGGCGCCCAGAGGGTGTCAAAAGGCAGAGGTCCGTCTTTGTCCTCCTCCTTAAAAAAATGTGTCCAATTTAACCTTTCTTCAAGATTTTTCCCACCAAGCATTTGGACATGTGTGTATAATATGTGTAATATGTGTAATGTTAATGAAAGCACCTCATGTCTCATGTCCTGTGTATTTCTCTCAGGAGTATCTATAGAGAAATATTGTTCCTCTCACTGGTGGCGTTGGGGAAGGAGAATATCGACGTAGGTAAGTTAAATCAACCAGTTCCATCACACCACCATCTGAAGGTTGTATCATTTAGCCTTTTAATGGTTTTCATTTACGAAACTCTAACAACTATCCTTAAAGAGTAAAAGATGCTTACTCTCTTCTCTGACTTTGTGAATCTCTCTGTGTACCTGCAGAGGCCTTTGACAGGGAGTACCGCTTGGCTTACGACGAACTGAGCGCCGAGCAGCTCAAGTCTTTGCACCGCATCGATCAACTGCCCAGCCCCAGCGTCCAGTGCTGCCTTAAATGCTTCGGGACCCCCGTCATCTGACACACAAAAAAGAAAAAAATCGGGCTGGTCAAGTGCGACAGCAGGAGGGAAGGACAGGTGGCGGGCCCGGGGTGTGAGCGCAAAGTGATTTGGTGTTGAAACACCTCCAGTTGCCCGAACATGGTACTTTTTCTTCCGCTCGTCTTGGAAGATGCCCATCGTCTGCTTTTTTTTTTTTTTTTTTTTTACAACCGTGTGATGCTTTTCAGAGGCTTTCCAAGCAGCTACTTACAGGAGGGACTGTTTCTGTAAGTGGCTTGGAGAGCTGCAGTGAATTATTTGGGTCTAGTTGAGGTGTGCTTCTTTACAGATGGTGTATAGATTGATAAATCATTGTACAGAATATATATCGACTGCCCCTGTTGTGTGTGCCTGTGTGTGTGTAATCGTTCCCTGTCTTGTAGCCTTTTTGCCCACTTTGCCTAAATCTGTCCCAGCTGTCTCCCCATTACATCAGTCTAAGTTGTTTGAGACTGTGAACGTACCCTGATTGTTCGTTTGTGCACTTTTTGAAAGAAATAACAAGAAATAACAGTAACTCATGTCCACCCGTCTTTTTGTACATATTGTTTACTTTGGGGGAGAAATCTGAAAGCAGGGTTTTTCCTCGATGCCTTGACTGTTTGTGTGATCCGAGTCTTAATGAATGTTCAAGTTTGTTTCATTGTAAGTGTACAGGATCAGAGCGCGGCTCTCTGTCTGTGTAAATATGCATTGGAAGCACACGCGTAAACGGGAGAGGACTGAGGACAATCACTAATTATCAATCACTAAAAATGGATTCTGCAACATTCCAGATGCCTTGCAATCAAAATAGGTCTTTAAAGAAATATTAGCGATCTCTGCAGCAACAGAATGAAATCAGCAGATTGAAGGAAGCTATTATCCACAAACGCATCGATGGGACGCTACAGATTCCCACACTTTAAAACAAAGACGCGCGTTCTCTTGCGGGGACAGACAGCTGACCGAGCATTCAATCCAACTTGTGTTTTTAATATCTGCGTCTTTTAACAATAATATACTTTACTCGTTCAGCTAATATGCCTTATTGTAATGTTGAATTAGAACTGTAACTCACATGTAATGGGGCTACTCCTTAATCTAGCATAGAACAAACCAGTTTATTATTTTTTTAAATTGGGTATACCATTTGCAGACGAGATTGCTTTTATGGTTAGTGGTAGCAATTGGAGCTTTATGCTGCACAGGGGCTTCTTCAGTACTGCTGACAGTGTGTTAAATAAAGAAACAATTTCACAGCACGACATTCCAGTAAATGCAGAAACGGACAGGAGCAAGCAGAGTGCTGTGATGAGCTGTTGGGAAGTGGGTGTAGATGGACTGACTTTGTACAGACGCGATGATATTGTGAAATATCCAATTTGCACTGTATCAATCACAACCTGACCTTAACCCAGGGTGAGGATGAGATGAGACCACATGAAAACAATTAACACAGTCGTTTTTTGCGCCGAAAGAAAATGGAATTCTCAATTATTTATTTTTGTATTATTGACATTCGGATTGCAGACGGTGTAATTTAGCATTTTTATGACTAACAACCTTCCCCTTTTAATCCGTCTTAAAGGATCCCATCCTGTACTGACTTTGTAAATCTGACCTCCACATGGCAGAGGATGTACAGAAGAGACCGTTCTGTAACAATAGATTTAGGTGACCTCTTACTGTCCTGTGGAAAGGAATTGAATGTCTACACTTATGTATGCTGCAATAAAACGAGTTTGTGAACTGATTGAAAAACGAAATGTATCCATTTTTTTGTCTCTATTCTGATAAGGATTTGTTTTGTTCAGTGCCACGTGTGAGAAGCTCCAGTGATTCATGTTATTTTTGAAATCTTTCTGATGGCTGCTTTTAGTTTGTCAATACTTCTGCAAAGGCCTTGATGTTCTTACTCCTTTTTTCATTTTATGGTCAGCATCAAATTCCCTCCCAAGTAAATTGTCATGCTCTCTCATTACTACCTCCATATCCTCCCAAATCTTCCTTTCCTAAATGACATCTTCCTCCGTCTCCTTCATCTCGTCCTCCATCACTTGCTCGTCACCCAGGATCTATATTACAGTCACTGCAGGTCTGATAATCAAGGGTCATCTTACAGCTAGAAATTCAACTCTTGATATTTTCCAGAATATCCTGAGCGCTTTATAAATGCAGGGCACCTTTATTTTGATGTTCCCAAAAGGACAGCTTTGTTTCTCCTGTCTTTTTGAGTGCATGTAGGACTGCAATGGAAACCGTATCCCAAAAAACACAACAGGGCACTTTTATGTGATGGATGCAGCCTGTGAAAATCGGATGCCTACGTTTGCCTTTATTTTGTGGCGTCTGTTGTTTAGTGTTGCATTTGAGAGGCTGCTCTTGTAGACTAATTGTCAAGGTGCAATATCTTGGAATAGCCAAAATGCTTATGTAGTATTCAAAAAGTAGGGCCCCATCCTCACAGTGGATACAAAGAAAAGAGTTGAATGTCATTTTATTTTCCTATATAGTGGATTTTTCTTCCCCGATAAATAATGAACTTTGCACATGCAATGAAACTAATCCTTCTTCTGGTGTCATGCTTCATTAGGAATTCTCAGGGATGACACAAAAGTGCCCCTTTTCATATAAAAAAAACAACGAAGCGTATCCTTCCGCCACGCAACACACGCAGCTCTTAAAACCTCATGGGTGATGCCGACACGCGCATGGATATCTTAATTAGACGTTGCGCAGCCAGGTGTGGGATTAACGAACCGGCCCGGGAGCGGTCGAACACACACACACGGTGAACTTTGAGAAGACGGGACAACAAGATGTCGACGACGCGGACGAGAAACGCAGGAAAGACCCCGAATAAAGAACAGCTGAGCCGGGATATGCGACAGAGCAGACTGGATCTCTTCATTCTACAGTTTGAGAAAGAAGGTTTGGCAGTGACTGCTGGTCAAATAGCAGGTTTCACATCAAGACAACACCGTGGTCCTAAACATGGCGACCTTTCTCCCCTCTCACAGCACAGGAGCGTATGAACGAGTTGTATGCCAAAAAGGAGAACCTGTTGGCAACGGTGGACAAGGCCTTCAAAGTGGAACTGATGAAGATACCCCATTCTCTTCAAAAGACGCGCATAGGGGATTTAATAAGCGGTGAGCCATCACTCATAGAAGTCAAGTCAATTGCATTTATGTAGCAGAATTGAGTGACGACGACAGTCATTCCTGTCGTGTTTATTTCACCACCTTCTCTGTTCTATTAGAGGAAATCTCAGCAAGTGAGGTGTCAATTGCCATGAAGGTGAGTCCGTTAAATCGCGCGTGCTGCCATCTCGAGGTGTTTTTTTTTAGATGTATAACTGTCCTGATTATCACCTGTTGCAGAATGAGTCCCTGGAGATGCAGCAGCCCCTCAGGAGGGCGCTCAGCAAAAGAGGTAAAACGACTTCCTTCAAAACAAAGTAGTCGTAACTATTTATGTTGACTGTGAAAAGCAAAGTTTAAAATCCTGTTTTTGAAATTAAACTTTTCTTATAGCGCCAATCTTCTTTCTTTTACAGTAAAATCAACAGATTCTTCACCGGGTCAGTCCACCCCACCAGTCCGGAGGTCTTCATCCAAGGCCTCTAACGTAAGCAATGTAGCGGCTAATGTTCGCACACATCAGCGAGATAAACTGGCTTTAACTTGGTGCTTTGAGTGACACAACTTCTAAACAAATGCATCGCTTCTGGAGTTGTATCCAATTGTGGTTTGCTTACTTTATTGTTCTCTATATTCTAGGGAGGAAAGGGGACAAAAAGGGCTAGAACACTAGTCAATAGTAGCAGCACTGGAAATATCAGGTAAATACTGGAGGTTAAGGCGTTGTGTTTACGTGTGGTAAAGGAGTACGGAATATAAGATTGCATTTATTTTCTGCAGGGACTCTTCAGTCTCTGCCAAAAGAACTCAAAGCGTCTTGACCAAGACTAATGGCAAACCTAAACTCAGGTCTGTTATTGCCCTCAGTGGAGCAAAACCTGTTAAGAGTTGCACTTGTACAAATGTATTTAACTAAATAAGATGTGTGAATCTTGTGTGCGCGTCCCAGGTCTGTCGTCTCTGCTGGTGAGCTGCATTGTTCCATGGCGGGCTCTGCTGCACATATCACTGTAACCACAGCACAGGGACAGGTACTAGTGTTTTTTTTGTTTTTTTTATCTTTGTCACTTGGTACCAGCTTTTGAGGAAGCAATGCTTTTTCATTATTTCATTCAAACCAATGGAACTTCCCCGAGCTTTGTGAGACGGTGCTCCTCAAAGCATTTGGATGAAGCACTGAAACCCTTCCAGCCCACAAGAGACTTGTTTCCACATGTTAAAATAGACCTGGATTATTAGATTTTACCCAAATATGTATGCATGTGTTCTCCATGTTCTTCTCTTCCTTCCCAGAGTGTGTGCTTCTCTGACGAGACAAAGGCTGATATCAACTTGGACGTGCTGGATGACGTGGCATGGTGCCAGATTAAGAAGCTTTCGGTAATACGCATTCCTTTATTATAATGTGACGCGAGTATTTTGTTAAACATTTGATATGTACCTTTTTTGATTTTTGGATTTCAGAGTCTGATGGACTATCTGTCAAGGCAAGGTCGCTGCCAGCGATGACTAAGGATCCACTGTGAACAGGCTTTCCTCTTATTTAATTCTATTTTAAACATTTTACTTTAATTCAATTAATTTATAGAAGTTTCTTTTATTTTTTTATCTATAATAAAGCTTAACATTCTACCATTGTGAGTGTAATTTGTGTCTGGTATGGCCAATTAAAAAATCATAATGCTTTTCACAAGTGTAAAAAATGTATTTAATTTAATTCCAGTAGAGTTTATGTAGAAGACAAAGCGTTACAGGTTTTGCTAGATTGGCTAGCATAAAAAAAACGAGATTTCAGCAAGAATTAGTCTAAAATAGCGTGGTGTTTGACATGGAACAATGGTAAAGTCAAACCTTTGCCTACAAAGAGGAATATATTACTCTGAACATAAAGCTGTAATGGATCACTGGGATATCTGCTGGGAATGAAGTGTGTCCATCTCCACCTCCATGGGCTCCTCTTGGTGTGACTGGGTGGCGGGAGAGCTGGAGGGCAAAGCCGGCGCGCGAGTGTTCTCCGGGGCCAGCCGGGGGTAGAAAGGACCTACCAGCCAGTTGAGCGGCGTGTTGTTGACCAGATAATCCATGACGATGTCGAGGGAATCTTTGATTTTGCCCAGTTGGACTTTGCTGCTGGTCAGCACGCTGTCTGGCAGATCTCCCAGTGAGCCGGCCTTGCTGAAACTGACGTAGACCTGCGTGGCGGAGCGGCTGAGGGAGAGCGCCTCCTGCTGGATGTGGTTGGGGAGGCCCTGCAGGCTGGAGACGAGGACCAGACACGTGGTTTGGAGCTGCTGGGTGAGGGAATGGGCCAGGCTCAAGGTGCGATACTCGATAACCTGAGAGGAGGGGATGAAACCATATAAATAACCTGACACACTTATTGGTGTGTGCTTTTCATCTTAAGTATGTTACCTCATTGCATATTTCTTACCTCTGCCTTGTGACTGTTCTGCTGGTTTGGCCCGTTGGACCTCCACGCCGCCAGAGAGGTCAGCTGGTCATTTACCATCTGGTTAGCCCCGTTGATGTTCTTTCTGCCATATTCAATCTAGAAAAACAAACACTTAAATCTTTATTTTCTGTCCTTTTTAAAAAGATTTCCTTTCAGAATGTTGAGTATTCAGCTTCCTTATGTCTACTAAGGAGACCCACCAGGTTAACGGTGGAGTTAAGCTCAGAGATGAATTCCATGCTCTGCTGCTTGCCGTCCCTGACTCTGGCCACCGCCCTGGTGTACGCCCGCTGTCGGAGCTTGGTGGAGAGGGAACCCAGGCGGACGTAGTAGCTTGGCTCTTTGTCGTCGAAGCCTTTCACAGTTTTCGCCTCCAGCTCTGTCGCAAGGGAGGGAAACGACTCATTAAAAATGCAACATAGGATTACTTTGAGTTCTGTTATTGTTATGAAAATCCTGACGTAAGATTTGAAGGGTACAGGTAAAAGTATAACTGCTTCGTGTTTTTAAATTGATGAAATACGAGACTTGTCTGCTACGAATTGCTGCTGAGTTTTGCATGTTAAAGTATCTGTAGCCATGACAAATGGAGTTATTCACCAGTCAATCCTTTTAAAACGGATCCATTTAAACTAAAATAGTTTTACAGGATTGTTTTCTATAAACTTTTGCACACCACACTTCACTCTAAATAAAAGCTCCTTTAAGGATGGAGGAAAAACAAGCCGCTGATGCAAATTCTGAATCTCAGAAGTGCATTAATAAGCACGCAAGTCCTCTTTTCCTGGGAGCTGGACTAAATCTACCCTGAACAATGTACTCCAGCTGCCTGTTAATAACTGACCTTTGATGCCGCTTGTTACAGAAAAACAAGCCTAATCTCACTAGCCTTACTTATATTTTGCTTATTTAGACATTTGAAGCCAAAACGGCAAGCTATTTTTATTTTATTTTTTTAAATCTTTTAAAAGGAAGATAAATCATTGGCTGTGGTTCACCAGTAACAATAGTCATGGTATTTGTGGGTTAAACCAGATGACGGTCTCACCCAGCTCGTCCTCCGTCAGAGGCAGGTACTGCTCCACCAGACTCTCCGAGGTGCTGAGTGCCGTGTCAACGCTGCTGCTCACGAGCCGGCCCACTCTGCTTTCCAGCACTGTGCTGACGCTCCCGCTGACCACGGCCCGGGTCCTGTCCACGACGCAGGTCAGAGTGTCTGAGACCGTGTCCGTCACAACGCCTCTAGCGCTGGTTACCACATCCTTGGCACTGGAGACGATCTGGGCAGGGACGAAATCATGAGCAAATACTACTTTTTTTTTTTTTGTTTAACCAGGAAGAACGAGTTCAAATGGGCATAGGTCATGACAGAACCTGCAGGAAATCAACCCACATCAAATGTTCGGCTACGAAGTTGTGCAATTTTGCTTGATTATAACTGCTGTGACCTTTGACACCATGTAACTGCACATGCTGTTGATCCAGAACATACCTGCTCAGATGGCTGGCGAAGTATCGGCAAGGTTTTCTCAATCCTGTCCAAACCTTTGCAGGCCAGGTCATTGGCAATGGCAACTGAAGGCAAACAAAAAAAAATAGAAAATTAAGATGTAATAAGGCAAGCTGTAACAAAGATGTCAATAAATAAATGGAATCTGAAAATACTATGGAGAAAAGTGAATAAATGTTCCTTTAAGTGAAAGATTTGGGGATCATAAAGTTTGTTGGCTCAAATCAGGATGATTGGAAATAAAACTGGAAAAACAGGTGAAAGATCAAGATGAGGAGGAACCAGCGGTCTGACCTGAACTTCCTGTTTCAAACTCTGTGTGACTCAGCTGGTCAGCACATAATCACCCTCACAGTTTCACATCCTGTCTTAACATCCAGTACGCTTGTCTACAGGTGACTTAGTAGGTGATCTATCATCCACACTACAAGGGCTCTTACTCTGAGGCTCCAGCTTGCCGATGATGGGTGAAGCGGTGGTGAGGGCCACGGAGGTGATGGTCCGGACTCCTTGCTCAGCCGCCTCACACACAGTCCTGATGTACGGGTGGGTGTCCTTGGTGTTGGAGTACACGCTGGACACCAAGCCGTAGGTGGAGCTCACCAAAGGAAGGCTGGTCACCCTCTCCACCACGTTCTGTGAGGGAATAACAGAATAGGAGGCTTACATATGCTCATTCACATGTTGACTGTGCTGCTCTGGCTTTCTGTTTCTATGAGAGTAATAATAGAGAAAACTGGACAATTTTCCAAACTTAAAAAATGTAATTGAGCATTAAAACCCATTATCTTATTCCTGACATTGTGTCATTACTTTCTAGAGTCGTTTCTTGACTTTTAAAAGGCCAAAAGCAGCTTTTTCTTTTTTCAAATTCCATCAAATATTATCAAAATAGGCTAAATATCCTTTATTAGATTTGATTCTTTGTAGCAAACTCACCTGATTTGCGATAACTGTAGCTGCTGCCATTTCTGCTGAAAACAAAAACCTACGAGATAAAACACAACATTAACGTCTCCACTCAAAAGAACAAGGTCTATTACTTCCGTACTACAGCAGTTATTACAGTATAATGACAGGTCCCGTGGATTTGTTACAGAAACATTAACTACAGCTGTGACGCCGTTTACAAAGTAGCTTTAAAGAGACAAGTAGAGACTCACCGTAGTTACAAGCGTTTCCAAACTGTCAATGAGCTGAACCGATACTAACTGCAACACGACGGTGGCTATATTTATATTCTGCAATTATCGCGAGATGTAGCGCAGCACTTTGACGTAAGCGACAGAAACGTTTCTAGGGCAAAGGTAGAACTGGTAAAAGTTCAGTCGGGGGAATTCCTCTCTGACCGGCAGTCACGCGCACAAGCTATGACATACAACAGAAGTCTGACTTCTTAATATTACACAAGCCAGCTACATGTTTTTTTTTTGGTGAAATGAGGATTATTATCATTATTATTTTTCATGTCTGCTCAAGTAGGCTACAGGCCAGTACTTGGAAAAACATAAAGTCCTACAGTAACCACAGCTCTGAGATTATATTGATGAAAGCACATAACCTCCATAAACTACAAGAGGACCGGCTTTCTTCTCATTCTGTGCACTAGTGTACACGAGTAGGCCACTGTGCACATAATAGACCAAATTTATTCAGTTTTCCTGCCATTTTTAAACACTATTATCTTTTGCGAACAACGGTAAATTGGCCCTTCTGCAAAAAGAAAGGGCCCTGAGACAATGCTGAAGGTCCTTTTTACTTCAGATGATATCGTGCTTTAGTGGTTTGTGTTCTCAAACAAATCTGCGATTAATCAACTTTTTCACAGACGACTATAACGTGTGAAGCACAGTGAAGCTGAGGGCTTTGTGATTGTCCCTGTGACTCACAAGCCCTGGAGACATGTGTCTGCTGTTTATTAAACTCAGCTTTGAGGACTTTGTGTGGCACAGGCCTCATCATTTGGGACCCATGTGGGCTTACTCTCATTTCGTGGCTCAAAGCCATATGCTTTACATACCTTAGACCAGCGGTTCCCAAACTTTTTAGGCCACGCACCCCCTACTACATCCCGACCGGGTTTTCACGCACCCCCAATCCCCCACACCTTAAAAAAAAGAAGAAGCAACAGAGTCTATTTATAGCCGCATAGAAATCGGACCAATGAGAGAACAGTTTGCTCGCGCGTGGCGATTGTTTGCAATATTTAGTCCGCTGTTAAATGTTGCAGTGTGAACACAAACCGAACAAAGGGGCAACTGCAACATTGTATCATATTAATCCCTGAATCAGAACAAAGCAAACGAACTGAAGGTGTTAAAACGCCCTGAAACACTGCAACAAAGTTTCAATAAATTTCAGTTACACAAGGCGTCACTTTGAAAGAGCAATAAGGATGGCGAGGACACACGCACAGGCTCAGAGGCAGATTGCATCACATTTCATTTACAATTAACCATACATAGAATGAGACTGCAGTTGTTTTGGGCTGTCTTGTAACTCCTCCAATTTCGATATAAAAAATGTAAGGGGCTTTTGATTTGCACTGGCATGCTTGGTGTTCAGGTGGCGACGTAAATAAGAGGGCTTCAGACAGCTGTTAGCCAGAACCTCATTGCACACCACGCACTTTGGCTTTGGGCAATCTGCATTGCCAATCCAAGTGAAGCCCAGACCCAGATCATTTTCATCATATTTCCTCTTTTTTTTCCCAGTCTGATGCTCACTCTCGTTTCCTCTTTTTTCACCTTGACTCCGCGATGGGCCTATGTCGCGGAGTCAAGGTGAAAAAAGTTTGGACACCCCTGCGGTAAAATAACAATAATGTCAGGAAGTAAAGTGCACCACACTTTGGGAATCCCTGCCTTAGACAGTCATCATGGTTTAAAAAAAAACACTGGAAGAGATAATAGACAATGGTGGACGATCCTAGATAGGATAGATTTTGTTTGAATTGGATCATGTATTTTCAAAGTTAAAAAGAAGTGAGACTTGGATGATATTTTTCTTCTTTGAGAAATTCACATCATAGAGTAAAGTTTGCCACCAAGTGAAAATACCTAAAAACAGCCAGTGTATTTGAGGTCATGCTATTTATGAGAAACATATATGCTATTTATTAAATGAATGCAGGAAATGTGACCAACCTAACACCTCGCTTACTACATTTCTGATGACTTCACTTAACGGCTTGAATAAATACCATACATCAGCGTGAACCGATGAACAGGTCTGTGTTTGCCAGTAGCTCATCGGAGCCAGATGTGTGACCCTGTTTTGACTTCGAGAGCACTTCCCTATTTTTTTCAATGCACCAGAGCTTCATTTCTGCAAAGAATTTCTATGTTATTAAAAATGTAAATTAAGTGTTAAGGCAGTATCGTTTATTCAACACATTTGGACGCCAGATGAGGAAACACGGTCTTAGATCAGATTCTCCAGTTGGCTGACACATTAGATTGTGTGTAGATGAACCCGTCTGGGCCCATTTATCAGCCCTTGTATGACTCAAATGGACCCCATATGAAAATGTTGGCTGCAGTAAACCACAGACTCTAATTTTTAATAAGATTCTGTCTGAAGGAATGTCTGCAGAAGAAGAGTTTAAGTTAGTTGGTATTATAGTATAACATACAGAATATAGGCCTCTCACAGACACACACACACACAGAGATACCACGTTGTAATGGACATTGATCTGCTCATATTTTATTGTCCACGTCATATTCTTTCACTTTAATCAGGCTTTATGTGGTGTGATGGAAAGCAAAGTACAACCAGTTGATCAAGAATAATGACTCATTGGGATTACACGATGAACTCTATCATACTCCTGGGTTTTCAGGGGTATAATAATAAGCCTTCAGTTTTTCTGTAATATTAAACCTTCTTAAATAAATGATGATGGGCTTATAAGGATTACAGTCGGGTCAACATATTTTAAATAGTGGAAATGATTGTGTTTTAATGTCCAGTTTTAAGGGTTAGAAATCAGCAGTTTTAGTGAAGACATGTTATATGTGTCCCTCAAAGAATAAATAAACTTTTAACATTTCAAAGTGACAAACTTTTTGACCAGCACAGCTAAATGAGACCAATACAGTTTAGTCGAGTATGTCCGTGCACATGGCTGAGCGCTACTCTGACTCAACACCTTGCGTAAACACATTTCAAAGTGACATAGTCAGAGTCATTTCAGTTCAGTGTCCTAACTTGATGTTGCAAATCACCTGAGAACCTTGCAGTAGATTATTTCACAATGAAAGCATGACATATTGGAATTAATTCTTTATTCATTGTTTTGAACGCAGTTACAGACCATTTTTGTGTGAGCAGAGTGCCAATTAACTGAAAAAAATGAATACTCCTTTTAAATTTGAACAGAAACTGAAATGTATTCAAATCTAAGACCACCTGTTTAACTGAGCTGTAGTCCCTCGATCTCCGTGGATAAGAAGATATCAACCATTAGCAGAAGTCATTGTATTTGAGTTCAAGCATACTTCCTAGTATTTGCAGATTTAGGCCGCTAGAGAGCAGCAAAGTAGAAAAGGTTCACAGCCTATCTTCCCTGGATTTCCCCTTCCATGCCACCCCTTGTTCTAGTTCATTTATTTGCCTGCTATTTAATATTGACAGGCATGCAAATATCAAGAAATTAAAGAAATGGTAGACACAATTATTCATTATTTTATTTTGGTAAAAATGATTGGGCACAATTAGGAATGCATTGGTTTAATTGAAGTAATAAAAATGACATGCATCCAAGGGAACATTGACAAGCGGGGCATACGAGATCTCAAATGAAAATTAGGTGAGAAAGCAAATCCATCTTTTCGGGACAAATTTAAAAGACTGTTGACTGTTTCTCTCATTCTACATACAGTCAAGATAAAAAGAAAGATCAGTCATGGAGGCGCTCTCCCTCCCCACGGGGTCCGTTGGTGTGCAGGTGGCAGCAAGGGGTTACTGGGTCTGGCAGGACTGGAGAGGAGATCCTCACACGGCATCCCTCTATTGTGCCCTCTGAGACAGGTAGGGCTGTGGGCAGCATGCCAAGGCCCCCTGGCTGGGTAACGGATACCTGTGGGCTACTGGGAAGGTGTCACACCTCCGCATCAAACACAGTCAGAGGCGCTGCGTGAAGAAAGAGCACAGACAGAGAGAAAGATGTGGCTTCAGAGCAGAGGAGAAAGAAAGTGACATGTCTTTGGAGCAGCGGTATGCTTTGGTTAACTCTACCCTCAATCAGACAGTGTACCCTGAGCGACGACAGTCTGCTGGACTGTCCATCATACCTGTAACAAGTCGCTGTGGATGCAATAGATGCAATGGGATTATGAATACAGATACACTACAGATAGCTGAGAGCTCTCTAAATGACCTTATTATGGTTCTCAAGATGTCACATGCAGATTAAAATTATTTTTTTTCCATTGTAGAGATTCAGGAGTCTGGCAAAATGCTGCGTGTCAGGACAAACTGCAGAAACCTTCTTAAATTTTCCAAATAAACCAAAAAAATACTCTAAAACACTAAACTCTTAAACACAGTCTTACTGAAAGTAAACACAGGAACTAGCAGCCTGGATTAGCTATTACTAATTAGCTAACTGCCCAGGGATCTAATTTCTGGACAACTTTCCTGCTAACCAAGCTAGCTCCTTTAGCTGCTAAATGCTTCGCTATGTTCACCAGCTAGCAGCTAACTTTGTATCTCTGTCATTTAGAGCTGGGGAAGTGGCATACAATTGTTTCAATGTTTGTTTTTGTGGCCAAACATTATGCTATGAGAGGAAACCAAAGTAGTTAAGTTGTGGGCCGAAAAAAAACAGAAAAACAATTAGCCAAAAGTTGCTCTAAAGCTCCATAAGGAACTGCAGTTTGGTGATAATTCTCTGTGGGATCATCACTACCAGTGACCCCTCTCACATAAAAGTAGTAATGCGATTTATCGTTAATAAAAAAATATCGATTATAGCAGCTTTAAGCAAAGCCAGACAGTCAAACATGTTTAGTGTCTTTGGTTGTTTAATTTTATGCTAAAACAAAGTTAATCAGCTGGACCAATCAAAGATGATAAAATAGTCAAATTCTTAAAAATCTTTTTTGTTTTTTTGCAAAATAGGACATCTTAATTCATAGTCACTGATGTTTTTGGTGACACAGTCATGATTGCAGCTGTTTGCTGAAAGGCACCCATTATCTTTTATCTCTGTTGAGTTG